CTCTCTTTCTAGTCCCTGTCAGGACTCTTGCTGCAGCATTTTGGATTAGCTGAAGGCTTTTCAGGGAGTTTTTAGGACTTCCTGATAATAATGAACGATATCCCTTCTGCTGACCTTCGTCTGTGCTTAGTTTTTAAAATACACAATTTTGAGCTTTGTTCTGATGTTGTTTCGGAGCTCGTTTTCATTTCTTTTGTATTTTTGATGCGACAAACGTTAAAAGCACGATAAGTGACGTCTGAGAGGACGAGGAGCGCCTGGACCTCACAGTCTCACCGACTCTCGCTGTAACGACTTCCTCGTTTTAAATCCCTCCGCTGACTCAGACGTCTGTGTTTGCACAGAACCTTTCCTCTGTGAACGTGTCTTAAAGCGATCGTAGAAAACAGGCGAGAATCTTCAGAAACTGAGCCGAGCTGCCTTTGTTACAAACACAAACACGATCAAACCAAAACCAGCACCATGATGCAACACCAAAAACAAAAAAGCAGAGTTTAAAGTAACATCCACAGAATAAAATCATGGAGGACGGACTCTATGAGCTGCATGTGTGAATGTCTGGCCCCTCCCACAGCCAGTGGCGTGGTTCCACCTCCGAGCACAGAGGTTTTGTGGTGCTGTGTCTTTACTGGGTTTTTTTCCTGTGAAAACGTGGAACTGGTTTGGAACATCCGTGCAGTGGTTGTCAGTCCTCCAAACTGGAGGGAGCCAGCTGGGGTGCTTTGGGGATCCGACCAGAAAACCTCCTGCACCGCTGCAGGTTAACTGTTTCACGGGACACACTGGAGAGGTTAAAGCTCGCAGCTGGGTGGAAAATGTCTGGAGAGAAGAACATCTGTTTTTCCCCGGCCACTAAGGATGGATGGATGGACAGACAGATGGATGGAGGCATGGGTGGATGAATGGAGTTGGTTGCCGTGTTGTTGGAAAAGAGATTGTGTCTCCAGGTTGTGCACGTAAACACAGCGTGTCTGTTATCGCTGCTGCTCCGTCAGGGTCCAGCGGAGGGTTTAAAATCGAGCGGCGGGCAGAAACAAGCGGACACACGGGCGACTTCGGACGGAGACCAGTTCAGCAGCTTTCTGTTCTGGAGGGATCCGCTCCTGACCTTCAGCGACGAGCTGCTGGGTTTACTGGTGAGTTGAAAGGGAAGAATGTTGTCATGCTGGGAGTCTCGTAGAGCAGCTTTGCATGATTCACAGTTCAGAATAATCCTTTGTGTTACTCTGAGCCTCGGTTCAGACTGTGACCGGCTCGTGTCACCGGCTGCAGTTTGCAGGAGACCTCGTTCATATTTGAAGGAGCCTCCATGAGACTTTGAGGGCTGCAGGCGTCTTTGTGTTTGCATGGTTTCACACGCCAGTCAGACTCTAGTGCATCGGTGCATTACCCTTTTATTTCTGTGGTTTTGTGTTGCAGCCTCTGAACATGTGCATGCCCTCCACCTCCACCTCCACCTCCACCTCCTGCATCCTGCAGCACATTTCAAGAGAAAAAGTAGTTCAAGTGTGATCTGAGGTCTTATTCTTGTAATGTGTAAATAGTGAATCGTGTGGAAAACGGTCCTGAGGTTGATGGCGCGGGATAAACAGGGTTTCCTCCTCAACATCAGTGATTTAAAGGTCTCTCCCCGTAGGAAAGGATGCATGTGAGAGGAAGCAAGGAGACAAAGGAGGAATTTTACATCTCATTGAGTCATAACTTCTGTCACCTGTCAGACTGCAGTGATGATGATGATGATGATGATGTTTGTTTACAGAAAGAGGGCAACGAATCACCACAGACAGAAAAGAGGGCGGAGCAAAGGGCGTCGGCGGGCCAATCGGACGACGAGGACAAAGAGAACGAGCCTGATGACGAGGATGACGAGGAGGACGATGACGATGGAGGAGGATGGATCACTCCCGGTAACATCAAAGAGGTGAAAATGGACTCCGCTGATTGGACGGCTCCAGCTGACATCAAAGTCGGCTGTCTCACCACCGACTTCGCCATGCAGGTAACGGATGCAGACGGTGCGTTCGCTGTAGTTGTGTGGACGGTTTCAGTAAACCGCTGCGTGAATAAATATCCTCCTGCTTTACGCCGAACTTCAAAAAGCTCTCGCTGTCTGTGTCCCAGAACGTTCTCATTCAGATCGGACTTCACGTTCTCTCTGTGAACGGGATGCTGATCAAACAGGCGAGGAACTACATCCTGAGATGTCACGCCTGCTTCAAGTGAGTCCGGACAAATTTAACAAAACCTCTTCAGGCTGAACGGGAGGCAGCTCGAATACGCTCCAGTGAAAAATACAAAA